TTGGAAATGTTAAGTTGTCGTGTTATACGAATTACCTCTCACCAGAATGATCGTACATTGAGTTTTAATCAAATGAACTCTTTATCAAATGAATTAAACAATGGATCTAATGTGTAAATCTACTAAATAAGGTTTAATTCACTAATTTTACATCAATCCGCTAACATCCAAATGAGTCAAATATGTCATAATGTAATAATTCATTTCACTAATAAATTGTATTAGTCAATTGTATAAATGGGTTTTCAGTAAATAAAATTGTTCTACTACAATTTATGCAGTAGAGCAAAGTGAGACTCGACTAAAAGGAGATGGAAGGTGTAATTGACCTACCCCACCATTAGCAAAAGAATACCACCGTCTCCGATAAAGCGCTCTTAGTTCGAAGAATTCTTGAATTATCAGTTTAGCAAGCGATACCAAGCGTGTGCATAAAAGCGAGACCTACTAGGAGCGGGCCGAACAATAGAGATACCCGTTGTTCCTTACACGCCCTAACAACGTTTCAAGCTACTCGACAGCACAACACCAATCGCGTGAAGATCTCATAATTTTTCAAACAGGTGTTCAGTATATGCTAATTTCAAATAACATTAGTTGGTAATTATTTCAGCACATCATGCTGTTATGAGCAATATCGATAGTAAATAACAGTAGAGTTATTTTAAAAGAAAAAAACACTACGTATAATTGTTTTTCATGAATCAAATGCCGCTATTTTTGAAAAAGCTATTATCATTTTATTAGCTCTTTGCAAAACAATGTAGATAAACGAATATGATATTGTGGGTGGAAGGATAATATTGATTGACAAATACAGCATAATTAAGTATTAATGATGATAATAGGGCAAAGAAAACGACAAGTTATAGAGAGGAATAATAATAATAATAATAATAATAATAATAATAATAATAATAATAATAATAATAATAATAAAAGATAAAATGAAAACAAAAAAAGAGGTGTCGGTGGCAAGGGCGCGCACTTGCCAAATTGGGCCAGCTAGCGGCCACCTCACATGAATAAATTCGTTCATGTTTCAACATTTCAGGCTTTTTTTTTTTTTTTTT